ATTGCACTTATTTTGTAAACATCTATCATTACTTATTTTGACAGTTTATGTATTAATTCGTTAATAGTATAATGTAATAGGAATTGTATAATTAAAGCTAAATAACACGCGCGTCTGTCATGTCTAATTATATAAAATATACACATTTGCATTGAAACACGTTTGAGTTTTGCCGCTGAATATACCACTTCCGGTTTTGAAACAAATGGCGACGGTTAGTCCGATCCCTCTCTAGAGGATCCCTAGTATTAGGGATACAGCAGGTGAATTCCTCAATAAGGAGTTTGATGTCAGGGAAAAAGTGAAAAATGTACAGGTGGTAGGTAGAGAAGGAAAGGAGGTGATAATTGTGGAGCTGATCAACTGGGAAGTGAAAGAGAAAATAATGAAGGAGAAAAAGAAACTAGTGGGCAGGAGAGTATACATAGATCATGACATGTTGCAGGAAGAAAGAGACGTGCGGAGGAAACTGAGGGAGCGCGCTAGAAGTGAGAGAGAGAAAGGAAAGAGCGTGAAGGTAGGATATAGGAAATTAAATATAGATGGAAAATTATACATTTGGAATGAGGAGGCGAGGGAAGTTAGGGAAAAGAAGAATTTCTAAGAGGCGGCCAAGAAAAGAGGACGGTGGAGAGACGGACGGAGGAGAAGGATAGGAAGAAAAAGGAAAAGAGAAGCAGAGGGGGAAATGATAAATTAGGTAGGAAGGTAATGTTTTGGAACGTGGCGGGGGTAGGGAATAAAGGGAAAGATTTTTGGAAGTTTATATGTAACTACGATTTCATTAGCATGTGTGAAACGTGAGTGGATAAAGAGGGGTGGGAAAAGCTAAAAGTAAAGCTCCCAAAGACACACGTTTGGGAATGCAGTTTTGCGACTAGAGATAAGAGGAAAGGTAGAGCGAAAAGGGGCTTTATTATAGGTGAGAGGAAAAATTGGGGAGATCAGAATACGAAAATTATAGGTAAACAAAAGAAGGGGGTGTTAATATCGGAAATCGTGGAGGGAGAGGAAAGCATGTACATTATCTCGATATATAATAAGGAATGCTGGAATGATTTAAAGGTAGTATTGGATAACGTGACAGAGGGAATGGACGGTGAGTTTATGTTAATAGGGGGGGACTTTAACATTAGGATCGGCGAAATGGGGGGTGGAGAGGAAGAAGATGGTGGGATGGAGAGGAAAAGTAAAGATAAGTTAGTAAGTAACGGCGGAAAGGGGCTTATAGAGTTTATACAGGGTAAAGGCTGGTACGTCCTGAACGGTACAACGGCAGACGATTGGGAGGGAGAATATACGTTTGTAGGAGCAAGGGGTAGTTCCGTAATAGACTACGTCCTTTGTAATGAAAAAGCGCAGGACATCGTGCAAAGGGGACAGAGTGGACTCGGACCACATGCCGATTATGGTGACGCTGGAAGGAGGGAGAGAGGAAAAGGAATCAGAAGGAGAGGAAGAAAGAAGAGAAGAGGAGATATGGAGGATCTGCTGGAACAAAGAAGTAATACAGAAGTATAGGGAAAGTACGGATAATGTAATATGGGAGAACGGGTTGCGGGGGTCGGTGGAAGATAAATAGCAGAAGCTGAAAGGTGTAGTCCAAGAGGCACTGGTAAAGAAGAAAGTGAAAACTGGTAAGAGGGAACTAGGACACAAAGATTGGTGAGATAGGCAGTGTACAAGGAAAAAGAGGTTGGTGTATAGACTTTACAAGAAATAGAGGAAGGGAAAGGAAAGGAAAGATAAGTTTTTAGAGGAGAAGAGGAAGCTGAAGGAGCTGGCGGAGCAGAAGCAAAGGGAGAAGAGAGAGGAAGAAGAGATAGAGTTAAAGAACCTGAGGAGCGTGGCAGAGGTATGGAAGTTTATCAACAGGAAAAAGAGGAAGAAAGTATGGAGGGAAGCCAATATAAGGAAGGAAGCATGGAAAAAACATTTCATGGAGTTATTGGAGGAAACGGAAGGGCAGATGGACTATGGGAATAGCAGTAATCTTGTGAGGACTCCGGGAGTTCAGGAATATATGGAAGAGGAGTTGCCGAGTGAAGAGGAGGTACACGAAGCGGTGAAAAAGTTAAGGACAAAGAAGGCTGTAGGAGTGGATGGTATTCCCATGGAAGCATGGAAATACGGAGGTAGGTTTGTCAGAAATGGTCTGGTAGAGCTGATAAGACAGATATGGATGGAGGGAGATTTCCCGAAGGATTGGAAGACGTCCATAATCGTGCCTCTACATAAGAGAGGAGACCAGGAAGTCGTGGGAAACTACAGAGGAATATCTCTGCTTTGCTCGGCATACAAGATCTACGCGGAGATTCTTAGGAATAGATTGGAGCTGGAGGTAGAGAGACTGGGATTACTGCCCGAGAGCCAGGCTGGTTTTAGAAGGGGAAGGTCTACGATGGACAATGTCTTTATTCTGAACCATTTGGTACAAAGGGAGAAAAAGAAAGAAGGGAAGGAGAGTAAGGTGTATGCACTTTTTGTAGACTTAAAGGCGGCGTTTGACAATGTGGATAGGAAACAACTGTGGTCAACCCTAAAGGACAATGGAGTAAATTTGAATATTTTAAAAAGATTGGAGAAAGTGTATGAGTAGACGGTGGTCGGCGTAAGAACAAAAGAAGAGCTGACGGATGAATTCGGGACACATAAAGGAGTTCGCCAAGGCTGTGTGATGAGTCCACTTTTGTTTAATTTGTATATTGCAGATATAGGAAGAGCGTTAAAAAATAGGAACATTGGGGGGGGGGAGGGGTGCCGTTACTCAGTGATAGGATATGGTCGTTGGAATATGCGGATGATATGGTGTTTGTGGCGAAAAATAGAGTTGCGTTAATGGATATGATTGACACGTTAAGAAGACTGTTAAAGAAAAAGAAACTGTTGTTATGTGTGAATAAGACTAAAGTTATGGTTTTTAACAGAGGAAACAAAGAGAAAAAGGAGAGCTGGAGATGGGAAGATAAGGAATTAGAGGAGGTACAGACTTTCAAATACCTGGGTTTAGTATTTAATAATAAAGGAAATTACCTCTTGTTCCGGTTCCGGAGAGAACGAGAATGACAGGTGTGCAAGTGAGCGAGAGCAAAAGGGTTTAGAAGAGAGTGACGAGGGAGGCTGAGGAAGGAGAGGGTGATAGAGCGAGGAGGTGTGGAGGTGAGAGAGTGAGGAGGTAAGAAGGGGAACAGAGGAGGGGCAGGTAAGAGGAGATAAAGGGAGGTAAAGTGTCTAGGCACTGAGAAGGTGGAAGCACGAACGGTAGCTGAGCTAGAGGGGCGCACGGTAGGTGAGCCGAGCCGAGAGCGGCAGCACGAGGTAGGGCGCGAACAATAGCGAAGAGAGAGGGGCGACTCGACGCAGGATCCGGGACGCGGATAGCAGCGCGAGGCAGGGCATAGAGTAGGCGGTGGAGCTAGAGGGGGAAGTGAGCCGAGTTAGGAGGAGATGAGTGAAGGGAAAGAAAACGGGAGGGAGGGAAAGAGTGCGATAGGTAAGGTTAAGGAAAAGGAGAAAGTTAGAAGGGGGAGCACGGGAAATATAGAAGAGTTATGGAAGAGGAAGAGGGAGGAAATGGATAGGAGCGGGGGGGAGGAAAAGGAGGAGATTTTTAAGAGAAGTAACATGACGGCAAGATCTCCTAAAAAAGACTCGGAGATAGGTGTGAAGGAGTTGGGAGAAAGAATGGGAGAAATGATGGAGGAATTTAGGGCAGTGAGAGAAGAGCTAAGGGAGGGTTTCAAGGAGCAGGGTAGGAAGATGAGAGAAGAGATAGAGGACCTGAGAAGGGAGTTTAGGGAGCGAGAGAAGAGATGGAAAGAGGAGAGGGAAGAGACAAATAAGCAGAAGGAGAAAATGGAAGAAAGAATAAGGAGATTGGAGGAAAAAATGGAAGGGAGGAAGGAGGAGAAGAAGGAGGAGGAAAGAAACGGTAGAGGGGAGGTGGGGGAGAAAATGAGAGAACTGGAGAGAAGGCTGGAAAGGAAAGAAAAGGAGGAGAGAAGAAGAAACATTGTAATAAGAGGGCTGGAAGTAAAAGAAGGAGGGAAGAGAGAAAATGCAGAAAAGTTACTAGAAGGAATAGGAGCGAAAGTAAAGGCAATAGAGGTGAAGAGAATAGGAGGTGATGCAGAAAAAGGAAGGGAAATGGTGCTGTTGAAATTGGAGAACGAAGAACAGAAATGGGAGGTTATGGAAAAAAAAGGAGCCTAGTGGGGAGAAAGGAAAGAATTACGGAGGACCTATCGTGGGAGGAAAGAAGAATGAATTGGAGGTTGAGAGAGATAGCGAGAGGGGAGGAAAGAGAGGGTAGGAGGGCATGGATTAAGGCAGGCAGAATAAGGTTGGAAAATACTTGGTGGAGATGGGATATGGAAGAGGAGGTGTTAAAGGACGAAAGGGGAAGGAGAAGAAAGGAGAGCAGAGGAGGGAAGGAAGGGAAAGAAGGTAAAGGAGGAGAGGGAGAGGTAGGAATGGAGACGGGGGAATAAGAGGAGAAGAGGATAGAGGGGGTGAGATAGAGAAGGACAACGCAAAAGTTAGAAGAGAAGAAGAGGGGGAAAGTAAGTCAGTTTGGAGGATAGTATTCTGGAACGTAGCTGGGTTGGAAAATAAAGATAAGGATTTTTGGGAAGGGCTGAAGAAAGAAGATGTGTTAGTCATGTTAGAGACCTGG